GACAGATGCCACATCCATAAATCTCTTTGAGATAGGCCACTTTCTACTTTGGGCTGAGTGTCATGGTGCTGTGGGACATCAGACTTAAAGAGTCCTTAGAAGGTCTTTTGATTAGCTGAGACATTCTAAAAAAGGTACACCTTTAAGACTCTTTAAGCCTGTAGCAGAAAAGCTCTAAAAAGACTTATCTTAAATCTTTCTGAGGTCTCAACAAAGAATTTTACAGAAGCACTCTTGATCTGATCTTTACTCTGAGGCCATTTTTTTTTTTTTTTTACTAACAGCACCCTGGAATTTGAGAAGTATTAGATAAGCAAAGTGAAGGGAGAGGATATTCCACAGCGGAGGGCCAGAAAAAACAAAAGCATAGTCTCACTGGGGAATAGTGAAGAAAGCTATCTATCTGGGTTCATGATGCAAGGAAACAGAAAACGAAATTGGAAGGGTAGAATAAAATCAGGCACACTACATTTGAGCACTACAACCAGATTATGCAGTCTGTAATTTATGCTCTAGGCTGCCAATTTCTTCTTGCTCATCCAAATGTTACTGCATCAGATACACATGGAGAGCTTTATAAGTACAGTCTCACCCTAGAGATTTTAAAAAAGGTTGCAGTAGAATCTGTATCTTAAGCAAAGTCTCAGGTGATTCTCAGGCACAGCCAGAGTCAGGAGCACTGCTCAAGGCAACAGCCAGCTGCTGACTTTTTAAGAATGGGAATGACATAAATGTAAGCGCCTAAATGATTTTTAGTTATAAGCATGAATAATAAAAAGTGCTGTGCTTGTTTTACAGCCACAGGTTGTTTTCTTTAGAATTAGTATAAATCAGAGTTCATGTTAATTTTCTACTTAGTTTTTCAAGCCCCAAAATATGACAGAGATTTCTGAAGTTATTTCTTAAGATATTGCTGTTTTCTCTTTCGAGTTTCCTTGAATTTGGGTAGTTGCTTCATAGAGCTACGAAAGTACCTGTTAATAAAAAAGAATGTACAATAGTATTGGGCAAATTAAGAAAATCGAAATAAAATATTTTTTCTAAATTTCTCTTCTGAAATGTTGCAGTATCAATGCTCACTTTTTGGCTTTCCCAATACTTATCCAGGGGAAACTGAAATACTTTGAAAGCATTTATTGAAAAGTGAGAAAGAATAATTTAGCATTGTTTTAAGCATCTTTATAAAGATGAGAGGATCTTTATCCTTGCCAGGCTTTATTACTTTTTAACAAAGCAGTAAGATGAACATTAGAACATTAAGAACATTAAAGGATACTTTACCCCCATAAACAAGTCTGTCTCTCTCTCTCTCTCTCACACACACACACACACACACACACGGTGGTACCACCCAAAATGGAACAGAATTTATTTATTAAAAAATTGTGTATTTATTTTCACATGTTTAATCTTCAGATACCGTCAAAGTACTCTCTATTTGATGCAATACAACTATTGAGACTTTTTTCCCACTGCTCAAAGCAGTTTTTGAATTCTTCGATTTTGATGCCTTTTAGTGCTTCCACCATTTTTTGTTGTTGTTGTTGTTGTTACTGTTGTTTTGTTTCACTTGTTCCACACCAGCAAAGCAGTCCCTTTGAGGACTTTTTCATCCCAGGAAACAAAAACAAAACTCGCTCTGGGTGAAATCAGGTAAAGGGGGAGGGTGGGGCATGGGGGTCAAGCAGTTTTTGGTTAAACACTGCTGAACACGCAGCATGGTGTGGGCAGGTGCGCTTGTAAATCACCATCATGAAATGGGCAGATACACTGAAAGGGTCTTCAAAAAAAAAAATTCACTGAAGCCAAGTATAGCCTCTCACAACAGCGCCAGCTGGTACACTGATACGGATGGGTTCCTAGAACACTCCCCTACCTGGAGAAGCCCGTACTTCAAGGGCCCCACCCTTCAGAAGATAATTCTGGGTTTGTTTGTTTTTTTTTAAAAAATTTCATTTATTTTTAGAGAAAGGGAGAGAGGAGAGGGAGAAACAATGTGCAATTGCCTCTCCCACACCCCCTACTGGGCACCTGGCCACAACCCAGGCATGTGCCCTGACTGGGAATCGAACCAGCGGCCCTTTGGTTGCAGGCTGGTGCTCAATCCACTGAGCCATACTAGCTAGGGCTTTGGGTTTTTATTTTATAGTTACATTTATATATATAGTGTATACAGATGTTATATGTGATACGTGTTCTACTTAACATTATATGATATATACATGTCATATGTTGCATGTACGTTATATAGTATATGCATATCTCATATATATAACATTAAAGGGTTATCACATCTCACATGCACTAGTTTCTCAGCTCTTTTCTGTTGAGATTTCCCATTTGTTTTCAAAGTCCAAGAGGTTGATAACTCTTAGCAAGAATGGTAAAAGAATTTCACCTACACAGTTTACTGCTACAATTTTCCTTTTTGTATTTGATGCATGTAGAGGCAAGTATTCTGTATTTTTGATAAATATGCAGCCAAGTAATATGAATTTAATTTACGAAGTAACATTTGTCCATTTTCTGAACCTTACTTGGATCTGGCATTAACAAGCCTGCTGGAAAAGACTTGGGGATAACTTGAGGCATTTGAATATGGACTAGGTGTTAGGTTATGTTAAATAATTATTAATTTTGTTAGTTGTAATAAAGGTTTTGTGGTTACATAAGAATGTTCTAATCCTTACAGATGCATTAAGTATTCTAAGGCACAATATCATGAGGCCTACAATTTACTCTAAATATTTCAGCTCCACCCCTAAATAAATGAAACAAACACAACAAAGCTAAATAACTGCTTAAATCTACTTGATGGTAGTGTTCATTGTACTAGTTTCTCAAATTCCCTGTTTGCCTGAAAATGTTCTTGATAAATATAAATGAGGATAAATTATTAGTAATTAACCCTTATGTTGCTTCATTAAGTTTCAAGGTAAAAGAATTCATCTAAATATTCTAGTGCACAGATAAATGAATCAGATAAGCCTTATCTAAAACGGTAAAATTCTGGTGCACAGAACGGAAAAACCAGGTAAGCTGTGTCCTTTCAGAATTTTGTCTTAATGAAACTTACTTATACCAGTGTACGATATACGCATTTTCAGGTTTCAAAAAAAATCTTGGCAACAAAAATGATAACTTTCCAAAAATATATTCCACAACTAAGCAATAAATGTTAACAGCATTTATTTTTATCTTCTGGTACAGTTTCCCCAGTTCTAACAATGCTATATAAAAATGTTTCCATCTAGCTCTGGCCAGTGTGCTCCGCTGGTTGGAGCATCGTCTCATAACCAAAAGACTGCGGGTTTGATTCCCAGTCAGAGCACATACCTAGGATGCGGGTTCGATTCTCAGTCTGGGCACATACAATCCCCAGTCCTGGTACATACAGGAGGCAACCAATCAATGTTTCTCTCTAACTTCAATTTTTTTAGTTTTGAAAGCAGAAGTCTTTCTACCATGGCTATCAGTAGTACCACAGAAGAGTTCAAAGAATTTGATTAAATAAACTTTAGCTAAGGAGTAGAATCCAATATATAAAGCATACCAATTAAGAATAAGAAAGTTAGAACCATGATCCCTGGGAGTCCCCAATACTCTTGTAAAGGTCTAAAAGGTTAAAACTATTTCATAATACATTTTCATTGCCATGACATTTCCACTGATGGTATAAAAGCAATGCTGGGTAGAACTGCTAGCACTTTAGCACGAATCAAGGCAGAGGCACCAAACTATAGTAGTAGACACTGATTTCTTCACTGCCATGACCTTGAAGTAACTGGCCAGTTTCACCTAAAGAATATTCTTGATGAAGCAGTAAAAATATTAATCATAAACCTTGAATATAGGTGGTTTTAATATTCCATGTGAAAAATGAGAAGTATGTATAAAGCACCTCTTTACACCTCTTTAGTATATTTTAAAATGTGTCAACACTTGGTAGATCTGCATAGTTCAGTGAGCAACTATTTTCCAAATGACTAATGCATAATATTTCAAAATCATATAACAGTAAAGAGCCATTCAAAGTTCAGGATAAATCAATGGATTTTAATTCAAAAGTCCAAAAAACTTACTGATAAGGTTTCATATTCCATATTGCAATGAACATTTAAGAAAGCACCACTTGTCAATTTTGATGTAGTATCAAAGAAGCAAAACCACAATTATGTATAAAAGCTATTACGGCCAATGACACATTTGTGTGAGGCCAATCTGTCATATCAAATCATCCCATCGCAACAGCCTGACCACAGAAGCAGATGTAAAAATTCAGGTGTCTTTTTTTAAGCTAGAAATTAAAAGGATTTTCAAAAATTGTCCAATAGTAGTTCTCAACCAAACACAATTTTGTTTCCTCAAGGGACATTTGGCAATGTCTAGAGATACTTCTGATTGTTGCAACTGGGGAAAGTGCTAACATCTACTGGGTAGAGGCCAGTGATGCTGCAAAACATTCTATAATGCACAAGACCATTCACACAATAGATCATCCAGCCCAAGATATTAATAGTGCCAAGGTTGAAGAAATTAGAAGAATACCATTCTTCTCCGAGTTACTTTTTCATAAAAATATGGTGTTCATACTCGCATGTATGGCTTTATTACAATAATATTAAATAAACAAACAATTTAAAAGTTTCCTAATTTTAATTTACAATATAGTAAAGTTAACTAACTCACATAAACAAAAGCTCTTTGGGGTCTGCAAAATTTTTACCAGTGAAAAGGAATTCTGAGACTACAAAATTTGAGAATCAATAATTTGAAGAATGGTAGAACTAACAAATGATGCTGGCAAATATAAGGGAAATTAAAGGTCTCTAAAGGAAAACGTATCCATTTCAAGAGTAGCATGGATGTCCGAAACAAACAAACAGAAAGCCCTATAAAGCCAGAGGGTTCAAAAGAAAAAAATTATGATAGACCCAAAATGTCATTCTTCCCTTAAAAAACAAGCCAGCAACAAAAAGCATTAAAACTACAACTCTTACCCTGGCTTTGAGGACTTGCTGGACTAAAAGATGGCTGGTACAAATCTTTGGTTGGCGTTGGATAAGCTTCTTTCCCTTGGCGATGACTCATCTTTCCCGGTGTCAGAAGTTGAGATTCTTCACTGTTTGCTATCACAGCTCAAGGAAAAAAGGGAAAATATTTTAGAACTTCAGTGCTAGATTTACATAATTGTATAGTTGGTAACATGGAACAGAACTATGATTGAACCTGCCTCAGTGGTTACATTAATTTTACCAACTCAATACTTTAATAAATTTGCATAATTGTTTTGTTTTCTTTTAATTTGCTATCAATCCCAAAGAAATTGATAGGAATGTATAAGAAAAATTATACACACATATCGACATTTTAAAAATGAAAATATATATATTCAACTGATAAGAACAATTACTCCAGGGTTTACTGAGCTATTACTATGAGTACTAACTCTTTATATTTACCAACAGAACAATAAGCACACGATAGCCATTTTGCAGAGGAAACATACATGGTCAATAAACATAAAAAGATACTAAACCTCATAAGTAGGCAGAAAAAAATACAAATTAGTAGCAGTATAACATAATATTCACTAGAATTTCTAATTTTCATGGACAGTAGGTATCATTCCTGTTTTAAACATGGGAAACTTGAGGTTCAGAGAATGTCTTGCCTAAAACCAAGTAACAGAGGTTAAGAGTCTAACTCAAGACAATTTTGGTTTCAAAATCTGGCCCCTAAAAAGTTGCTGCCACAATAACGAATTTAAAGTGTTTCAGATTGCTATTCACCCACTTTAGCCAAGCTACTGACAGAGGAAAGCGAAATCCCATTCCAGAGAGAACAGAAAAGAGAAAAATATTCAATGAAGGGATAGGGCAAATAATCCTAAGCAACACCACAGTGCCCTAGGATTCTTTCTACAGCCTTTTATGTTTTTGTGCTTTCAGCTTACAAAGATTTACTTTTATTTTGAGCAACAAAGATTCTGTCTACACTCTATATTTAATTTTTATCTTAACCAGAACTTCATACTGACACTTTTATCACTGTCTTTTTTAATCAAATTTCATTAACATATTTTCTATTGTGCTGTTTTCAAAATTATATTTTAGCTCCTTAAATTTCAAAGCAAGAATTCAAATACTTCCATCTATCACCCAAGACATAAAAAGTTTATTTTCCCATCAAGTCCATTAAAAAAAGAATCATGGGGGGTAGGCAGAGACAAATGTATTTGAAAAAATAATTAAAATAAAATTAAAAAAAAAAGAATCTACTTACTGTTGGCTCCTAAATTTATATCTCCTCCTGACCTCAAACTCACATATCCAATTGCCTGCCTCTGTTCTTTAGTAGGCAACTCCATATATCCAGAATGTAATTTTTGATTCTGCTTATCTTCCAAACCTGCCTTTCTCCTCTCAGTTAATGGAATCACCATTTCCCTCCCCAACATTCTCAGGCAAGAAAAACCCAAACCCTTAGATGTATTACCCAATTTTTCTTTCTTTCACACTTCACATCCCATTTATCTCTGAGGTCTTTATAGTCTACCTTCAAAATTTACCTGGAGTCTTTCTATGTATCCCCACTTCAACAACCACCACCCTGTTCCAAGCCACTATTACCTTTCCACTGGATCACAGCAGCAGATTTCTACCTAGTCTCCAGACTATGGCTTGCTCCTCACTTGTGTAGAGTTTCATTCTCTACACGAAAACCCAAGCAATCTTTGTAAATCATAAATCAGAGTCGCATCATGGAGAAATATCCTCAATGGCTCTTCATTAAACCTGCAATAAATTCCATGGCCTAAGGATTCAATGGTGTCTGGCCCCTACTTATTTTTCCAATCTCATTCTCTACCACTCTCCTCTCCCCTCCCTTGGCTCCAGCCATAACGACCTTCTTGGTATTCCTCAAAACAAATCATCTTGCTCCCCGTCTCTGGGCCTTTACACTTCTTGTTCCCTCTACCTGAAATACTCGTGCTCCAAATCTTATTGTTAACCCCTCTCCTCATGTGTTGTTTAGGTCAAATGTCATCTCTTCAGAAAAGCCCTTCATGGTACCTTTTGATAAATAAGTTCCTGTTTTAATATAGTATAACTTATCAATTATTTTGGTTTTTTCCCATTAGTGCCTACTCCACCACAGTTATATTCTATCACTTTTTATGATTTTTAGTATAGCTCTCATCACTATCTGAAATCACGTCACTTATTTATTATCTGCCTTCATTAATCCATAAATTCTCTAAGAGAAAGAAATTTTGTCTGCCTAATTTTCTCAAAGTCCACAAGTCCTGGTAGGGTCCTGGCACACTGAAAGTGAATGTTTTATATTTTGATGAAGCTTCACTATCAAAAAGTACATAGTGAACCAAGATCCATTTAACCCCCTAAAATTATTATTGAAATTAAAAATGTATGGTGATGTGGAAAGACACACTGACCTAAAGAACATAACAGACAGCTCTCAGAAACAAACCCATAATTACATGAAGCTTGGATATACACTAAAAGTAGGAATAGAAAAGACTCTTCAATTACTAATACTAGGAAAATTGGTTATTCATATTGGAAGAATAGGTCCCTACCCTCAAACCACACACAAAGTACAATCTAATGAAAATTAAAGACATAAATGTAAAAAGCAAAACTTGAAAGCTTTTTGAATATAAAAAAGTATCTTTATAAACATGGGATAAGGAATGATTCTTCTAAAAAAAAAAAATAGAACAAATAACTAACCATAAAAGAAAGAATTGATAAATTCCACTACATTTTTTTTAAAATATAGAATTAATTTAAACAAAAGATATCATAAAGAAATTGAAAAAAAATAAAACAGAAGATATCTGCAACACATAATTAACAAAAGGTTAGTATCCAGAATGTTTTTTAAAAAACTCATAAATCAATTAGAAGAAGACGAATACTGCAATATAAAAATGGCAGGGGTGGGGGGGTTCATCAAAAAAGAACAAAATACCAAGAAATAAATTGAACCAAGGAGGTGAAAGACTTATACAATAGTTCTCCCTTATCTGTGATTTTGCTTTCTATGGTTTGTTATCCATGGTCAACTGCAATCCAAAAAATATTACATGGAAAATTCTAGAAATAAACTTTTTAAATTGTGTGTCATTCTGAGTAGTTTGATGAAATCGCGTGCCACCCCACCTGAGACATAAATCATGCCTCTGTCCAGCATTTCCATGCTGTATGTACAATAAGATATTTTGAGAGACCACGTTCACATAACTTTTATTACAGTATATTATAATTATTTTATTTTATTATTAGCTGCTGTTAATCTCTTACTGTGTCTAATTTATAAATTAAACTTTATCACAGGCATGTATGTATATATAGGAAAAAAACAGTACATAGAGGGTTTGGTATTATCTACAGTTTCAGTCTACTTTACACTGAAAGTAGGAACTACTTGACACTGAAAACTGTTAAGACACTGATGAAAGAAACTGAGAAGATACAAATAGATGAAAAGATTTTTTATGGCTGATGAAATAGAAGAATTAATATTGTTGAAAATGCCCATACTACCCAAAGCAATCTATGGACTCAATTCAATCCTTATCAAAATTCCAAAGGCATTTTTCACAAAAATAGAGCAAACAATCCTAAAATTTGTACAGAATCCCAGAAGACCCTGCAAATCCAAAAAGTCTTGAGAAAGAACTAACCTGAAGGCATTAATCTCCCTGGTTTCAAATATACTGCAAAGCTGTAGTAATACAAACAGTATAGTACTGACATAAAAAAGACACAAAAATCAGTGGAACAGGATTGAGAACCCAGAAATAAACCTATGCCTATACTGGTAATAAATTTATGACAAAGCAGCCAATAATATACAGTAGGAAAAAAAGGACAGAAATAAACTCCAGAAATAAACAAATGGTGTTGGGAAAACTATATATAGTCACATGCAAAAGAATGAAACTAGACTGCTATCTTACAACATACACAAAAATTAACTAAAAATGAATTGAAGACTTGAATGTAAGACTGAAGCCATAAAGCTCATAGAAAAAAAGCAATAGGCAACAATTCCTTGATATCAGACTCTGCAATGATTTTTTGGATCTGACTCCAAAAGCAAAAAATAAACTAGTAGGACCATATCAAACTAAAAACCTTCTGTACAACAAAGAAAAACCATCAACAAAATGAGAAGGTACCCTACTGAATGGGAGAAATATATATGTAAATCAAATATCTGTTAAGGGGCTAATAACCAAAATAATAAAGAACTCATACAATTCAACAGTAAAAAACAAACAAAAATCCCTATTAAAAAATGGACACAGTATCAAAACAGACATTTTTCCAGAAAAGGCATGTAGATGTCCAACAGGTACAAGAAAAGGTGCTCAACATCACTAATCATTACAGAAATGTAAGTCAAAACCACAAACCACAGTAAGATACCCCACATTCCTCAGAATGGCTATTATTAAAAAATAAAAAAAAAAAATGTTGGTGAGGATGTAGAGAAAAGGAAATCCTTTCACATTGGTGGTAGGAATGTAAATCGGTGCAGCCATATGGAGAACAGTATGGAGGTTCCTCAAAAAGTTAAAAAATAGAACTACCATCTGATCCAGCAATTCCATTTCTGTGTATTTACATGAAAATAACACTATGTTGAAAATATATATGCTCCCCAATGTTCACTGCAGCATTACTTACAATAGCCGAGATATGGAGACAACATAAGTGTCTATCAATGCATAAATGGATACAGAAAATGCAGTTCATATATACAATGGAGTATTACTTAGCCTAAGAAGAATGAAGTAGCAACACAACACAAATGGACCTTGAGGGCATTATACTAAGTTAAATAAGACAGACAAAGACAAATATAAAACTAGCAAAATAAAAACTGAGCTCACAGATACAGAGAACAGACTGGTGATTGCCAGAGGTGAAGAGGTTGGAAGGGGATGCACAATGAGTGAAAGGGGTCAAAGGTACAAACCTCCAATTATAAAATAAATAAGTCAAGTGGATGTAATTAATATATAGCATGGAGTCTATAGTTAATACTCCACAGCATATTTTCAAATTGCTAAGAGAGTAAATCTTAAAAATCCTCATCACAAGAAAAATATCCGTAACATTCTATGGTGATGGTTGTTAATTAGACATGCTGTGATTATTTTGCAATATGTACAAATTGAATCATTATGTTATTTACCCAAAATTAATAGAATGTTGTATGTCAATTATGCCTCAATTAAAAAAAATTGAATACAAAAAAAATTGGGGGAAAACTTGAATGGTGATTTCATGGAAGAAAAAAATGCACATGGTCAATAAATATACAAAAAAAGACGCACTCTCTTAGTAATAAAAAAATACGAATCAAAATCACAAATAAATATTTTACACAGTAAAACTGACAAAAATTAGTAAGTCTGAATATAGCAAATAGATAAGGGTAGGATCAATGAGACATTTTAAACACTGATGGTGGAGTATAAACCAATTGAAGCAGTCCAGAAAACTATTTAGACCTGTCGTATTAAATTTCAGTATACTTATGGGTCCAACAATTCCAGTGTTGGCTTTATAACTAGAAATACTCTTATCTGTGTGTATGAAAAGACAAAAATTAGAATTTTGATAGTAACTTCATTCACAGTAGCAAAAATCAAAACTTTACTCATCAATTGAAAATAAAATGGATTTAACAAAAGAAAGAAAATAAAATGGACTTAACAAAAGAAAGAAAACACAATGGATTTATATGTGGTGGTATATGCATATAATAAAATAGTACATAACACTAAAAAAGGGGTGATCTATCGCTATACTCAATGACATGGCTGAATATTAGAAATAAAATGTTAGTTACAAAAAGAAGTCCTAAAAGATGACGTTATCATGCTACGTTTCTGATAGAATTAAAAACCTAGCAAACATTAGTGATATGCACATAGTTTTAAAATAACAAAGAAAATCTATTTTTTAAGAAAGCAAAGAATGTAAAAAATACAAAACAGTCATCTCTGGGTGGCAGGCACAGGCAAAGAAGAGAGAAGGGCCACAGAGACGGACATGAATTATTTTCAAGATGCAAGCTCTTAAGTGGTAGTTCAAAAGGTACTGACTATGTAATTATGCTTTATGATCTACGTCTGTTACATTTTTTGTAATATCAGGCAGTACACTTTAGGCTAATTTAAAATACATGATGAGAAGAACAACTAATAGAATTAAAGTAATGCTTAGGTATTCCATCAGTGAGACACAGGCAGCTCCTTCTTGAATAACTTTAGTATATAAAAAAGTGTACATTTAGTTCAATTCACCCATTTCTAACTTCTTACTGTATGATTTTGATAACCTTGAAGTTTGTAGAAATAGCAATATACAGAGTATACTTTAGAAAAAGACAGAAATCCTGTTTTTCTGTTTTTCTCTTACCCCAGTCACAAACATTAGCAACTGCACAAACAAAAAAGGATGTGCATAGTATAAAAATCATTTGGATATCCTGTATCATTTGCACAATTGAAGACTAGTTAAGTATAAACTTAAAAAGGGTAGTGACTTTGTTTTTATCTGTATCCCTTGGCATAAAAGTGACAATAAATACTTGCTAAATGACTGAATAAATATTTGACAAATGAATCACTGCATGATTTCAGTGTAGTTTCTGACATTACAATCAATTGCCTCATCTACTAAAGATAGCATTACAGTGCCCTCTCTGGTTTGTATTTTGTAATGAAGTAACCTACTTTCATATTGCTTTACTATCTTAACTACAGTAGAAACTAATCATACTGGAATAATTAACAGTAATATAATTAACATACCAGCTGGAACTTCTAAGGAGAATGTGACTCTGTGACTACCATTCTTTACCTTCTGAATTCAACTCATCAATACAAAATCTAGAGAATTTTATAAGCTTCAGGGTCTGACATACGCACTTAGGCTAAGTGAAAGCTAAAATAAAATGAAGTAAAGTAATTATTTTAAAGTTACAAATAATCTCTATGTAAACCCTAAGTCTCCCCTTACAGATGGTGTACCTTTTCTCAAATACTTAAAGAATTTAAATATGTTGGTAAACAGTACAGATCCTAATAAAGTACTATGTTAAATTACTTTACACTCTAAAGATACATTGTCTCCAGGAAATAGTTATACAGTCCTTTTTTACCTGTTGGCAGAGTACAATATAAACTCATCTTTAATATACGCTGTATATTTTTATTTATATATGCTTAACACATATAGCCAAATTAATTTCTTCTATTCCAAGTAAAAATTAAACATCCCCCACTTATAAAACCCTGTTCCTAAAACAGAACCATTTCAACTGATATTACGAATTAAATTCTATTTGTAAAGTGACAATCATTTCACCTGAGCCAGCACCTGAAATATATGAGGTAATTAGAGTAACTGAAAAATCCATTGAAAATATCTGCCAAGTATTACAAGTAAGGCTGAATAAGAAAACATAAAAATGTTTTTGTATTTGTGTACTTTACTTTAAAAATTTCTACTATTTTAACAATGCTGGTTGTATAATAAACAGTATATTTTAAAAATGATGACTGCTGCAGTTACAAAGGAATTTTAGCATATTACCTTAAATCATCTCTCTTTATAGAAAAAAATACATATTATAAGCGGTATTAGAGACATACATATTATAAGCAGTATTAGAGACAAAAATACATACATATTATAAGCAGTATTAGAGACAAATAGCAACTGTTCTAGACCAAAAAATTTTAAAACTAGAAAAAACTTTGCCATTATTTTGCTCAGTCTTTTCCTTTTGCCAATGAAATGACGAAAAAAAAAAAAAAAAAAAGCCCCAAAGCAGTGAATTTACTTACTTGCAACAGTCAGATAACTATCTAGGAATTAATACTAAAATTTCCTAATTAATATAATTTTCACATTGCTCTCCAATAAAGTTAAAATTTTTTTCTGATTCATGATGCAGTAATATTTTGATTATTGAAAACCAGTAGAAGACCCACTGAGCAAGTAATCCATCCTAACTCTTTGGACATTTCAGTTCTTAGCTTCAGGTTCTTCATCTATAAAATTAATGCTTGTTTAGATATTATCCAAAGTTCCTATTACCTCAATCAGTCTTTGGTTTTTAATATAGAAGTTGCCCCCTATCACCATGCTTTGAAATTACCTATTCATGGGTCTAACTTTCTTGCTAGACTATAATGATCCTTAAAGGCAGGGCATACATTGTACTCATTGTGAATCCTCCAAAGCTAGCACAGAGTCTAATAAAAAATATGTATATATATTTTTGGACATAAATTTAAAGGGAACATCTTCTACATTTCTAATATGAAGCATGTTTCACTTATGAAATCCCAAAGTATAAATAAACATTTTCACAACCAAATTATCTGACATGTTAAAATTCTGACAAACTAAAACAGTATTTTTCATTTTCATATGGCAATGAATTTTAGTCCAGCCTCAAAGTAGTGTGACTTATGCTTTGTGGTGACAGCAGAAATACTATGAAGAAAAGGTCCTAAATGATTAACTAGATAATAGATTAAGTAAATAATCTTATCTTTAGATAATCAAGATGTACATATACAAATAGTATCAATCTCTGATGGACACTGACTGACCATTTATATTATTTACTTTGTATTTCAATGCCTGGAAAGAAAAGTAGAATGCTTAAAAATCAAAACAAAAATACCATATGCTTTTTATAAATACACATCAAAATATTATCATGTCTCCAAACATGCCATTCAAACTTTAGCTACTTACTTGATGGCGCAAGGACATCTTTGCTATCACCAAGAAGCTTTTAATGCAGGGTAATTGAGCAGCAAACAAATACAATCCAAACAAGGAAGAAGCACAATGCATCAGGATTGAAGCAGCAGTGAAACAAAAGGACAAGGAAAATAGCATTAGTTTATAAGTAGAAAGCACATGCACATCAATCCTAATAACCACAATTCACAAAGAATTTCCTTTTCTATACATAAAAAGATCTTGGCTTAGGCATTATCCAGTATTTGTTTTATTCTATAAAATGAAGGTAAAAAGAGAAAAAAAACCACCAAGTATTTTATTTTGAAAATTACTCAAGTCAAAAATTACTTTCAATTATAATTTAAGATATGGGTTAGGAGTAGTAAAAACTATTTAGAAATGTAAGGTACAGCCAAAAGTTATTCATTCTTAAATTTAAATGGTTTAAAAATATACAACACCCATGCACTATTAAATATTAGTTCTGCATGCCATGAAAGCTCTTAACACTACATGGAAATTCAGTCTATTTTTTCTCTATAAAAAAGGAACATTTACTGAGTTCTTCTTATATTCCAAGCATTGTACAAAGACACCAACAAAGTAGAACAATTATTTTCTTAAATGGCAAAAAACAAAGAGGAATACTGATTAGAGTGATAAATTTTATTAGGTCAAAATTTTCTTAAATGAATAACTTGCAATCAATCATCTAAAAGAAACAGAAAAAAGACTGCTGACCTGTTGTCTAGTAACTATTTTAACATACAACATCACGCAAAATGTCACCTATGGGCAAGTGTTTTGGTGTCCCTTGGTAGTATGAAAGCCCTTGGCTCTCCTTCATTTCAAATGCCAAGTATGGTAGTAACTCAAAACTGAAGTACAAAAAAACAAAAACAAACGGAAAAAAAAAAACAAATTCCCACCAAGTACATTATTGCTTGGGTTTATTTAAAGGGAATTGAGGAAGTCTTAATTGGATATGACAAAAAAAAAAAGAAACAAAGAAAAAAGAAAAATAGAAGTAGCAGTTGTTTGCTTTAGGCTTCTGTTGTCTCCCAGGAAAAAGTCTTGGCCCTGTTCGTTCCCTGAAGTGATGATTATTTCACAATGCTTGGAATTGTGTTCTAATGCCTTTTAAAGACATTTGCTCCAAAATAAATTAGTAAATAAAAGCACTTGTTCTATCCATTATTCTGTAGTTGCCCATTTAAGTGCATTCTTCTATAAACTAATTTGTTTCACAGAATAAACTGAAGAAAAAAAAATACAGCTTTAGTAACAATGAACTAATTGTGCTCAAGTCCTTTTTACCATGTGAGAACAACTAGCAAGTATGTGGGAAGAGATTAAAGTATTTGTGGTAGGCAACCTCTAAAATGGCCCAGAGATCCCCACTTCTTGGTGTACAATTTCCTCTTTGAGTGTATGCTAGACTTGCTGAAATCACTTCTAAATGAACAGAATATGGCAGAAATAAAGGCATGTCACTTCTAAGATTAGGCTGTAAAAAGACTATGACTTCCCATCTTGTTTGCGGTCTCATTCTTTCTTAGATCACCCTGGGCAAAGCCAGCTGCCCAGTAGTGAGGCCACCTTATAGAGAGGCTCATTTCGCAAAGGAACTGAGGTCTGTCAACAACCATTAAGTGAACTTTGAAGTGAATATCCCACCTTGACCTTTAACCCCTCCCCTTCCCATCCATTCATTTAGTCAAGCTTTCCAATAAGGCTGCAGCAGGCCCCCTTCTCCAGTGACTTGACTACAGCTATATATAAATTTTGAGCCAAAGACAACTAGCAAAACTGTTCTTAGATCCCTGACCCACAGAAATTACAAGATAATAAATGTTTGTCATTTTATAGCACTTAATTTTAGAATGATTTATTATCATCAATAAATAATATTGGGAAATTGGAAGAAGTTAAACTGATAGAGACAGCTGTGGTAAATTTTACAAATGTGTCATAGACATCTAAAAAAATGTTCTTGTACTGAAACAAATAATAACTAGTTTCCCTAGACTTACCAGGAACTTCCTAAAGGAAAGCAATGGTTCTAAACATTTATACGGGGTTGGGAGTATTTAATTTCACAGGGCTGATCATATTTGAAGGTTCTGAGTTGGTCTTCTATGAAGGACTAAATTTACTTTCATTGTACAGTTGTTACATTCTCAAATCATGTTGATTAACAGCATCAACTTCTGTGCAGCTGTACTCTTTGCCTGCTTACTCCCAGAAAATAATTCCCAGCATACACAGCAACTTCTGAACACCTGTTTCAAGTTATGCCGACTTTCAATTTTATATCCTCAACCATGTTTGGGTCACATAAATCTGATTCTACTGAATTAATCCAGTATTTTTTCAGATTGACACACTGAATAATAATCAAAATAAATATAGACTATTCAACTACAGATAATCCATCCATCCATCCAAATATTTACTGAATACCTACTATATAGAAAGGTATCATCTTAGGCACCAAGGAGTAGTGAAGAAAAGATAAAAATCCTGCCTTTGTGGTAGATATGGTCTGGTGGGGGAGATGAACAATAACATAATAAATAAGTAAAAATTTCTGTTGTATTATATAGGATAAGTACTAAAGAAAAATAAGCAAAACATGAGGACATAAGATGTTAGGGAAGAGGGAGTTAAAATTTTAGACAGGGTGTCCTAAGAAGGCTTCACTCCAGAGTTGATGGAGTAAAATGAGGTAACTTACCTTAGAGCATAAAAAGTAAGAGTATTCCAGGCAGAGGGAAAAACAATTAAAGAGGATTGGTAAGGGAGCACATTTGGAGTGTTTGAGGAATAGTAAAATGGCCAAAGAGGCTGAAATACAATATAAATATGAGAGTAACAGGAGATGAAGTCAAAGAAGCAAATGGGTAGCAGATGGCGTAGGGCCTTATAGGACCTAGACAGGACTTTTGATTTTATTCTGAATGAGATAGGGACCACTGAATTGTTCTGAGAAAAGGAGTGACATGATCTGTTTATGTTTTAACAGGATCACTCTTGCTACTATGTTGAGGATAAACTAGAGGAACAAGGGTATAATGAGTTAGGTTACTGCAATAAACTAGGGGACAGATGAAAGAGACTCGAACCAAGGTGGCAGCAGTGAGGGTGATGAGAAGTAGTTGAGTTCTGAACATATTTTTAAGGTAGAGCCAAGAGGATTTCTAAGTAGACCAAGCAAGGGAAAAAAGAAAGAGAGAGGAATCAAAATGAGGTCAAGTGTTGAGGTCTGAACTGCCATTATTTGTGATGCAAAAGGCAGTGAGAAGAGCTAGTTTACAGAGAAAAATATAAGTAGCTCAGGTTGAAACAGGTAAAATTTAAAATGCCTGTTAGAGATCTAAGTCAAAATGTCAAACAGGCAGTTGGATAAAAGACCTGTACGGAGAAAAGGTATAGACTGGTAAAAAATATTATAAATTATGATATGTGTAAGCGTTAGGATATATGACCTTAATGGCTTAATCACAGTAGATTTAAAAAATGCCACAAGATGAAAGAACAGGCACCAGCAAACATATAATAAAACAACAGAACTAAGAACTAAGCTGAAACACTCCAAATAAAAGCAGAAACAATAAAAAATAAGCATGTTTCAGAAATCTTCAGAAAAATATGGATACAAAGGCATTAAATTGGGATGCAAGTGAAATCCTCCCAGAGTTGTCTGCAAGTGATATTAATGGGAAAAAAAGGATATAAGTCACTGAAGATTACCAATCAATTTTACCAAGTGACTTGCCTCACAAATTTCTCTCCACATAACTAAACTGCACACTACGAACTTGTTATTCTTACCACATTTAGGACCGGTGTCTAATTTGTGCAGTTCCATATCGTATAAACATGAATAAAGAAAATGTGAAAGTACTGATGTGGAAACGCTCTACACAGGAATCTCGTAAGACAGTTAAAAAATAAGAAATAAAAAGCTAGACACTCTTTTTGGCTTTTGTTAGAAAGCAAAAATACACTACTACTAGAATCTCAAAGAACCCAAGAACTCTTCCTCAGCTTGTTCAGAAAAAGACAGTTAAGATAGGACAGACACATTTTCCCTATTTGAGTAATTTATCATGTTTACCATTATCCCTTAGACAATGTCAGCACAGTCACCTCGATAACTTCTTTAACATATAAATAAATTCTCTATTTTGAAAATAGTAAAATTATAGTGACATGCCAGTAAACTACCCATGTACTTTAAAAGCATGAAAGTACTTAATTAAAAGCATTAAAGTAAAAGCAAAGTATTTAATTAAAAGCATGAAATATAGCCATTATCTAAGTCATTACTGATTAATCTACAAATCTCAAGTAAAGAACATTATGCAAAAAAATATGATATAGTTTTAATTAATGTACTTCTAAGTATTTGCCATGTATAATTAGCATAAAACTTGAAGTCTTGAAGAAATGTAAAGGAATAGGTATAAGTTCATAACCAGTCACACCCTTTGTCCTGGGAAACCTCTCAGTCCTGAGTAAGCAAGGACAGATGGCCACCCTATGATATAGAAATTATCCTATGAAATCTATACAGTAGCTTGATTCCATTGCCTTCAACACAGCACCTCCTTAACATACTTATTGATTTGACTTAATCATCTTTTGAGCTTAATTGAGAGCACAAAGAGTTTATCAAGCACTGATATGAGTACCGCTTGAAGAGAAAGATTCAAACAGGTGGCATCTTGCCCACCAATAAAGCTTATCAAGTCGTATCCCTAGAAGCAATCCAGTTCCAGCTGATTATCACAGAAGCCACAATTCAAAAGCAGGGTTATATAAAACACCTCAAAAGTGTTCTACTTAATGTTATTTTTGGCCCTTCCAGTAAGAAACTTCAGTGAGGGACATATAATGCAGCTGAGATCTGTCCTTTCAGCAGGAGCCATCACTCTACACAACTGAATTTTTCATGTTCCTACAATGTCCTGCAAAACATACATGTGCACATTTTATCCCTGAGTTTTACAGGAGAGATTTCAAGGAAATTATTTTTTTCTGGGAGCCAGAGCTTATTACTGCTAAACAGAGACTATGATCTGGTTGGCCAAGCATTTATTTAAAGATAACCCAATCACATATTTGATCCCACTTTTGATTCCACTTCTAAGGATGTATATACTAGGTTGATCATCCAACATGGTCATAAAGATGTGCCCATAGATATGTATCACAATATCATTTACAATATCAAAACAAAAATCAATTTAAAACAAGGTATTAAACAAAAATACATTCACACAATAAAATACTATGTATTCATTAAAGGTTTTTTCCACTGACTGAAAAACATCCATTTATATATTGGCTTTCTTTTTAATCCTCACCTGAGGATGTGTGGGTTTTTTTGTTTGTTTTTGGTTTGTTCATTTTTTTAACTGATTTTAGAGAGAGAAGAAGAGAAAGAAAAAGGAGAGAGAGAGAGAGAGATATGTTGCCTCCCATACATGTCCCTACCGGGGATTGAACCCCCAACCTAGGTATGTACACTAACCAGTGACAGAACCCACAACCTTTTGGTGTACAGGACGATGTTCCAATGAACTAAGCCAACTGGTCAGGGCATATACTGGCTTTTAAAAGTAGATTATAAAAAAGTTTGTACAATATGCCTCCACTTTCATAAAATTTCATATGTAAGATGAACACATGTGAACACATTTAGGAAAGATGTCACCAAAATAGTAACAGTGGTTGGCTTTATAATGTAAGATCTTATTTATTATTATATTTTTATGTTGTTTAAATATACCACATTAGTATTATATTTATAATAAAAAAAGATTAAACCTATTTACAATTTGGAAAAAATGAAAATTTTTAAACTGATCTTTTCAATCTACACTAGCTACTTCATATGACAAAATCACTTATGATTAACTACAATGAAAAAATATATTTTAAGAATCCAATTTGAAATCCTAGAAAAATATTAAAAAGTTAACATTTCAAATATAGCACCATATATATTACTCACTGTCTCTTGAACTTCAGCAACTTCTGAATATGGCAAGATCTAAAAAAGAAACAAATTTTCTCAGGAGTGATTTAATCCGATATACCAGAATTTGAATCTAAAGAGCACCCACAGTTCAGCAAATGAATTAAGAGGTGCATTAATCTTTTAAGATGTAACAAAAAAGAGTACATTAAGTTTACATTGGAATCCTTTTTTAAATCCTTAATCTAAGTCCTTTTTTAAAAAAGTCCCAAGGCTTCAGGAAATTATAGTCAATCTTGCAACGTGTGAAGTTCTTTCTGGAATGTTCTTTGTTTTTTCACAGACCTAGTTTCCCTCAAAAACTTCATTCCAAAGCATTGCTACCTGTATGTGTGGACATTATTGCAAATTAACTTCTTGTTCTAAAATTCTGTTAACAAAAGAAGGGCTTTAAACTTATTTCATAAAACATCTTTATGTCAAAAATAGCACTCAGTAGTTTCCCTCAGAATCAAGATTCCACACCAATTTGCCTAATTTTTCAATGGTACCATCTTCCTTTCAATCACTCAGACCTAAACCCTTGAATCATCTGACTGTTTTCCCCCAACATGTGATCGAGTCATTAAGTTCTGATGATTTTTACCTAGCCAATGTCTTTCTCAAATCAAGTCCTTTCTTCTAATTCCCATTAATACCATGTAGGCCAGACCCACGTTACCTCGTTTATCAACTTTTGCACCTATCTCTCTTTCAAAAGATATCCCTGTGTTCACTCTTGCCTCACTCATTCATTTACTATGTTAGGTACTATAATTTAAAAACATGATAAAGACATGGTTCCTACTGCCAAGAAGACCACCATATATTGAAATCTGTATGTATTGTACAGTAATTTATTTGACATTGAGATGTTATCTCCAGTCTACCTAAATTACTCATTCTTGAAGCTAACCCCATCGTTTGCAAGTAATTTAACTTATCTGAGGTATATTTTCTCTTCTGTGAATACAGCTATTAAAACTTACAACTTTCCAGAATTCACTTTATAGGTTTTTTAAAAGAAATATATAGACATCAAGCAAAATTGTGCCCTGGCTGGTGTGGCTCAGTGGATTAAATGCTGGCCTGTGAACGAAAGGGTCACCAGTTGGATTCCCTGTCTGGGCACATGCCTCGATCGTGGGCCACGTCCCCAGTAGAGGGTGGGGGAGAGAGGCAACATTAGTGTTTCCCCTTCTTTTTCCCTCCCTTCCCCTCTCTCTAAATATAAATAAAATCTTTTTGTTTTTAATCGCTTAGTAGTACAACAAATAACAAAGATTAAGAAAGGACTGAGAAGAGAATGATTAGTTTACAACTATCACTTTAGCCACGTTGTTCCTCCACTTAAAAACATTTGATACCACCAATTCTTTAGAAAATAAGCTCTCGATATTTAAACCTTCTACAATTTGGCCCAATTATTCATTCCACAGAAGTGTTTAGATTTCCTATGACACAGCCTTACAACTCAATAACTCCATTTATCTAAATTCAGTCTAGTGAAATTGATTGCTCAGAATGATCTGCAGTTCTGTACCTACTTTCTGCTTCCCTGCTCAACAGCTTGAAAGTTCACTGCCCCTGAAGGCTCAACCCAAATTGCCAAGTTTGCTACCAAACTTCAAGCCTAAGTTATGTTTCCCCAACTCTGATCTTCTAATATCAGTTTCTTGACAATGCGTAGTTCATTATCTTATAGTATTTTCTCCATTGCTATCATTAAAAAAAATTAAACTGTTTTTTAACTTTTCCCTAATATTATAATGGTCTAGCACAGCACTGTCAAATACAACTTTCTGCAATGATGGAAATATTCTGTATCTGCGCTAATCAATAGAGTAGTTACTAGCTATACATGGGTATTAAATTGCAGAAATGTAGCTAATGAGACTGAGGGATTCAATACTTCATTCAATTACTTTAAATGTAAATTAGTCATAAATGGCTACCCTTTTGTACCTCTCAGGCCTAGTACAACCTGACCTTTCCCCCAGCTCAACTTAACTGACCATATGCTATCCAGCACCTGCCACTGCAGACCAACACTTTTCTCAAAACTCTTCCCCCTCCCTTAGTTTCCCAGCTATTCTCCCTCCTCCCCTTTCTCTGCTTGACTCCATTCCCTTTCTGCCCCCTTAAGATAGTTATTCCCCAAGGCTGCATTCTAGAATCTCTTTTTGTCCTCATTCAACATGATTTCCCTAGATGATGCCGTCGACTTGATTTTTAAATGGGCTCTATTCACTGACAATTACCCAAATTAATTTCCCACCTCTCCTGAGCTCTAGCCCCTTAAGGCCATGCCAATACCCTCCTGGTGCATTCATCCTTCTTACCCCAGACCAAATATCTCTTCCTTGGTAAGGGCTTTCCTGTCTTCCCATGTCAAGTATAACAAAGGGATACTACATCCTAGCCAGGCATAGCAAAAACATATTTCATCTGATTGTCACTGCATCCTTCTATCAGGCACAACTACAGGGAAGAGCCCACACTGCTCCACATGTTTCTAAGGACACTGACACCGCATCTCCATCTTCCTGAGACTAAGGAGGTGGAAAGACCACTCACTCACCTTTTCCCCAGAACTCGACACTTACAGCGTGACCACCAGTCTGCCTAACAGACCTGCAAGACCTGCAACCACACCTGGCTGGCTCTCACCTCTGCCTGGAAAACTACTTTCAGAACTCTGTTCAAAAGTCACTTTATCAGAAGACTTCCACAATATTCCTAAAAACAGCAACACCCATGCCCTCTTACGGTACTCTCTATTCTTCTTACCCTACTTTATTTTTCATCACAACAATCATGGGTGTGGGTTTTTTTTTTGTTTTTTTGTTTTTATCTTTCTCCACTAGAATGTTAGCTCTACTAGAGTAGGAACTTTGTCTATTTTGTTCACTGTTATATGGCTTAAAACTAGAACAGAGCCTGACACATGGTAGACCTTCAACAAATACTAAATGAATGAATAAATGTATAAATGAAAAAAAGGCTTAATCATTACTATAAACATGTAGTTCACTGAGTTCCTCTGTGTACTAAATGAATTAAATTCTCTTATGGCAAAAAACAAGTCTTGCTCATCTTTGTACTTTATAAAACTTATTCTGCACACTTAATATAGATACACAAAGAACTAATATGGACTACAATCATGGAATCTGAGTTCTAAGCCTACAATACCCTTTGGGTAAATATGAAAAAACATCTTGAATTTAATTTTCTTATTTGTTCATGAGATCTGTCCTAAAATTCTGTTATACTAAAAATTCAACCTAGAAAATCACCTCAATGCTAAGAATATCCTTAGTTATGCTTAAAGCATATTCATATTTTCTTCAACTATCAGTCTTGGCCATCATCTGCCCAAATTCCATTTTTAGTAATTCCCCCATCTTTTCTCTTAAATAATTCTGTCCTTTACAAATAACACTGCTACAGATTCATCATCAGTTTTTAGAAAAAGAATATAAGTTACATTTCTTTCAACACTGGTGATCTCTTGCTAGGATTAAATCAACTTCCTTAATCGAGGTCTTCATATACAAGGGAAGTTCAAAATCAATCACTATGTCAATTGTAACTAATTTCATGCATCTGGTGAGACTGCCAGTGACACCTGTAGTTATGAAATCAGAAAAGAAATGTCTACTAAAAAAATTAAACCCATAACCTTGGCCTCTGACCTAATTAACATTCTCCTCTATATCTGACCTAACTACTCATAGCTGCCCGAAAAGGTTACAAATTAACAGCACAGCAGAAATCATGTTGTCATCACAATCTTGCTAGGTTAGGTATGAAACTGGTTATATGAAATAGCTCATGCATATAAATATTTCCATGTATTATGTTCTCATGACCTGTTTAAATAATTTTGATTTTCAGTGTGAAAATCAAACCTAGATTTCATTTTAGCCAATTCTTCATACAGATGCATGAGCCTACATCATGACCAGGATCTGAATTAAGACCTAAGGACTAGTACAGCCCAGGGAATACTTGGTAATGACTATGTAATAACTATGTATGGAGCGAGATGGGTGCTAGACTTATCAAAAGGTCACTTTATAAGTTATAAAATGTCTAACCACTATGCTGTATACCCGAAACTAATATAATATTGAATATCACCTGTAATTGAAAGATAATTTAAAACTTTCCTTCTAGAGTTCTAGTCTATTTCTAACATATGACTGATTAGCATATTATATTCTTCAGTATCAAGCCACAGACAAGACTGCTAATAATATGGAAACATCAACCTCCATCACTCATATCTACCGCACATAAAAATACAGTTAGCAACTGCAGTTCATGTCTCAGCAACTACGTGGTACCTAAATGCCAAAATATTCACCCCAGAGAGAAAAGTCAAAGTTAGTTTCAGGAAAACAAAACTCTGGGTTAAATAAAATACATCATGTATTACATACTTTTCAAAGTATACATTAGTTAATACACATAAAAATTTTAAAGAGATGCTTTTAAAAAACTAAGCATAGTATAGATTAGTTTGTGAAAGAAACACATTAGTCTTCACATTCAATGACACAAAAAACAGAACTAGAGTATCGTATTGAAGTCCTCACACAGCCCACTGACTAGCTATGTGATCTTAGGAAAATTACTAACCCCTTCAGAACCTCAGTTTCTTCATTTCTAGAAACAGAGTAATATATATTGTATACTTCACATTATTATGGAAAGAATAAATGAAAAAGTGTGAGAGACATCAAGCCAAGGTCAGGACTCATAATAAGTGTGTAAAAAATTTTTTTCTCTCTACATAAATATAGTAACCCAAACATGGAAATGGCAGATTCCAGAAATCTAGGGAAAAAAGCTAAATCCAGGAGACATATTTTCTACTCTGCTACTACTACTTCCCTGCAGGTTTAAACTACCTTTTACCTACATTATACAACTGCATGCTAACTTGTTCCCTGGGCTAACTGCCTCTATTTCTATGGTTCTCAACCTTAGTTGCACACGGGCATCACCCAGAAGACTTTAAAAAGTAC